ACTTTGTTCTTTCTCCTTTTTTGAAAGAAACAAAATCTTTGTTTTGTTTATTAAAAAAACTAACCTCAACAGGGTTAGGGTTAAGGAGTATAAACAGGGCACTCAACGCCCTTAACCCTTACCTTAACCTATCGAGGTTAAGGGTAAAAAATCATGTCGGGGAATTACCGTTATCCTTACAATGTCGCCCAAATGTATATAGAATAATTACATGCGATAACAGCGAGTATTCAGCGAGTATTCAGCGAGTATTCAGCGAGTATTGCCACCCGAAGGTCGCCGCCGTCTCTGGCACCGCAGCCGCTGATGACTCATCGTCTCAACTCCCATGTACTTAATTAAGCTTCAGCCATATAATTTTAACTGTTATACTGATTATACTAATTATTATTGCTTTATAATAATGTAATTATTCATACCTCTTCTTCATTGCTATTATAATAATAATGAAATTATTTATTCCAGTTCTTCATACCTATTATAATAATCACGATCATAATTAATTATTTAATTAACCTTATAAAAATACTATACCGTTTATTTTATTATTATTATCGCTATTAATATTATTATCATAATTACAGCTGTAATTCCTATTTTACTTATAAATATATAATTATTTATACAATTTCCAGTAGTTATGTGTATACCTTATCTATGTAAGGCTCCGATTAGTTCAACTTTCGTCTGCTCATTTCAACGAAATGTTTAGAAATCAACGGGGAAATAAAACATGATAATAGTGAAAATGTAAAAAATTCATGATATTTTTTTGAATTCATTTTTAATTATTCTCACCGGAAATTTTGTTGCTTGTCTATTTATTGTTTAGTTTCAATGGAAGCAGTTTCAGCGCATCAGTTCCGTGCCCGTTTCAACGGACGCAGTTTCAGTGCATCAATTTCCCATCCGTTTTAAGGGAAACAGTTTCAGCGCAACAGTTTCACGTCCGTTTCATAGGAAACCGTTTCAACGCATCTGTTCCACGTCCGTTTCATAGGAAACAGTTTCAACGCATCTGTTCCACGTCCGTTTCATAGGAAACAGTTTCAACGCATCTGTTTCACGTCCGTTTCATAGGAAAAAGTTTCAACGCATCTGTTCCACGTCCGTTTCATAGGAAACAGTTTCAACGCATCTGTTCCGTGCCCGTTTCAACGGACGCAGTTTCAGTGCATCAATTTCCCTTCCGTTTCAAGGGAAACCGTTTCAGGGTTTCGCTCTCGCTCGTTGCCATGGCAACCAGCGGTGCGTAGCCGTTTTTAAAGACGATCTTTCCTTCGTCGTTCGCTGAACGCATTTTTTACGCCTCTTAAATCTGCGTAAATCTGCGTACGCAGATCCTCAAATCTGTGTACGCCCTTTAAATCTGCGTGCACCTCTTAAATTTACGCACGCCCCTTTTAATCTGCGTTTGCTTTTTAATTTACGTACAGCCCAAAAATCTGCGTAGGCCCCTTAAATTTGTGCATATCCGTTAAATCTACATACGTCCTTAAATCTGCGTACGCCTCTTAAATCTACATATGTCCTTTAAGCTGCGTACACCTCTTAAATCTACACATGTCCTTTAATCTGCGTACACCTCTTAAATCTACACATGTCATTTAATCTGCGTGCACATCCGTTAAATCTACATATGTCCTTTAATCTGCGTACACCTCTTAAATATACGTACGCCCCTTAAATCTACGCACGTCATTTAAATCAGCCTATGCCTTTGAAATCAACGTACGCTTTTTTAACCTACGTTTGCTCTTTAAATCTGCATGTGCCCTTTAAATTTGCCTAGGTCCCTTAGATCTGCATACGCCTCTTATACCGCATTTAAATCTACGTACGCGCCTTTAACCCTCTACCGCCTGACATGAGTAACCGGAGAAATATTAGTAAAGACAAGAAAAATTGAGCGTAAGACTTACGTTCACTTAGCGAGTTTTGAAAGTATGGCCCCTGACTTTGGTTCTTAAATCTGCTCAGTTCTAATTGAAATAAATAATAATAAAGACCAGTGATCCTGAAAGCATCCCATTAAATAACGTTAAGCCTGGGCTCAATACTAAAATTTGTTCATTAATTATTTAATGAATACATTATGCAAAGCGATGTAGCTTATGATTGATATAAAATCTCAATCCGTTATATAATTGATATATATCTCAAAATCCTGCTTGAATGAAACGTGTAGTTTGTGGGTGTGATTTTTCAAGTTTGTTTTGAAGTTAATTATATAATAATTGAAGCATTTCAAATATATTTAACAATAATTATGCTATATTGATACATAAATTAAGTAGGATTAATCAGATTTTTGGACATGATTTGTTAAAAGTTTGTATGCAAAATTTTAAAATTTAATATTCAGATGATAGAGATAAAAACAATTCGAAAAATATTGGAATAAAAACTTCGAAGTCAAGTTTTCATAGGCTCAGAATAGTAAGTCTTTAAATTTAGTTATTTTAAATTAATCAATAAATTGATGAAAAAGATTTTTCAGTAACTATTTATTTTAAAAAATTTCTCAATATTTAACAATTTTTTTACATTATGAGCGAAGAAATTAAGTACATAATACATTAAATAATTTTACAGGGAACAAAAGGTTAAAAATAAATAAAAGGTTAAAAGGTTATTAGAATGAAGGGTCAATATTTTTTCACCATATAAAGCTCACTTTTTTCCCTTTTTTTAAATTTGGAAATCTTGACTCCTGTTAATTACATTTATTTTTTCCCCATACACGAAGACTTTGCACGGAGAGAAATTATAGGCTATTGTCCAAGAAGCGATGCACTCATTGCTCTCATATGTGGGTCATCCTGACCCAGTTTCGCCTAGCTTAGAGACGTATCAGTGCTACGTCCGCACACTGCTCGTGCTATAGATAAGAAAGTGTGTCACATTTGGGACAATTATCATCGTTTTGATTTCATTAATTTTATGAGTGAAGCTCAATTTTCTACCCCCCTGCTATAATTGTTAATTTACATGACAATTTTATAGCATTATACTCGCCAGCTTACTATAGCATTATACTCGCGTTTATTANACGCCAGAAAACGAGTTTTTAAATACATTTTCACACATCGAAAAAATTTTAGTCATTTTTTTACAGAAATTGTCAAAAATGGCGATCATACCAATGAACTCTACACACTTCGGGGATCATTTTGATACCATATAATTTTTTCGAAATTCCGATTCCCAACCAAAAAAATTTTCTCGGATCAAAATGTTCTCGAAACATATCGGTAATTAGCGAACACAGTATGAAACAGTACACCTTGTGGGATGAAATTAATAAGATTTTATGTTATATCGTCATGGATGTGCATGTTTGAGGCTGGAGATCGCCTTTCCAACACGTATACTATGTGTTGGAAAGGCGATCTCCAGCCTCAAACATGCACAAGACTATGAAAACATAATTATTTACATATGTTGTGTGAAACACACAGCTTCCTGGGGTTAGGTTCAAGCAAGGAACAAGTTCATTTCCAGAGTACCACATAAGTTTATGTGGGTTAGTTAAGGTTAGGTTAGGCAGTTTAGGTTTGGTTAGGTAAAGTTAGGCTAAGTAAGGTTAGGTTAGGTTAGGTTAGGTTAGGTCAGGTTGGGTTAGTTTAGGTTAGGTTTGAATTCAAAATATCGCAATTATGATTAGTTGACATTTTTAGTAGGCTATTAATTAAAAGTAGAACAAAAATCTTAGTTTTTCTACTTTTCGAAAGAAGCAAAACCTTTGTTTTGTTTCTTGCAAAAAAAACTAACCTCAGCAGGGTTATGGTTAAGACGCAAAGATGGGCACTTAACGCCCTTAACCCTTACCCTAACCTATCGAGGTTAAGGGTAAAAAATCATGTCTGGGAATTACTGCTATCCTTACAATGTCGCCCAAATGTATATAGAATAATTACATGCGATATATGGTGATCTTCATCTCACAATCAACTACCGTCGTAAAATTTCGCTAAAATGTTAGCGCTATTGACAGATTCATAAAATTAGAAATTTTATATATTAAATATATATTATTAATATATACATATATATCTATATTATATTTAATATATATAAATATATTATATACCTATATATTAAATATATGTTATAGTAGTTTGCCATCACGGTGACGCTTGAAGCCCTATACTGCAACACATGTGTTATGGTATCAGTAAAGTCTGCTATATTCGAATTGAATATGAGCTAATTGGTCAAACTTGGTTTTCAGGCTGAAATAATTGAAAACTGCTGCTGAAGTTAGGCTGTTATTGCTGTTAGCACTAGTATAATAATGTTATTCATGTAATAGCACTAGTACAATAATGTTATTGCTGTTAGCACTAGTAAAATAATGTTATTCATGTTATAGCACTAGTACAATAATGTTATTGCTGTTAGCATTAGTATAATAATACTATTGCTGTTAGTACTAGTATAATAATACTATTGCTGTTAGTACTAGTAAAATAGTGCAATTGCTGTTAGCACTAGTATAATAATGCTATTTCTGTTAGCACTAGTGTAATAATACTATTGCTGTTAGTACTAGTACAATAATGTTATTGCTGTTAGCACTAGTACAATAATACTAATGCTGTTAGCACTAGTATAATAATGATATTGCTATACAATACTAGTGCAATAATGCTATTGCACTAGTATAATAATGTTATTGCTGTTAGCACTAGTATAATAATGTTATTGCCGTTAGCACTAGTATAATAATGTTATTGCTGTTAGCACTAGTATAATAATACTATTGCTGTTAGTACTAGTAAATTAGTGCTATTGCCGTTAGTACTAGTAAAATAAGCTGCAGCTGTATAGCAGCAGCTGCAGTCACGCAATCGCGAGCAGTTGGCTGCCGCTCAGGAGAGATCGAGAGAACTGATAGCAACGGCACCAGCAGCACCAGCAGCACCAGCAGCACCAGCAGCACCAGCAGCACCACCACCACCCTGTACTCTCTGGTATTTGATCGCTCGCCGCCGCTGCCGGCGCTGTTCGTCTGGAGTCGCTCCCGATGTCCGCTTAAATCGTGCGGTGAAACAGCGACAAATTTTTCTTCCTCTCTTTCTTCCCTTTTCTTCCTTGTGATAAAGTGGGTGGGGAGTGGTTAAATCCTTCCTCCTACTTCTCCTACATTTCTCCTGATACTCATACTACTTCTACTCGTTGAATGCTACTCATGTAATCACTTAAAGTGTAGAAAGTAAGACTACTTGCTCTTTTTCCCATCCCCCGTTTATTTGAATACTTCTTTTTTTTTATTGCTCAGCCGGAAAATCGAGTGTGACATGACAGACGAAAAGAGGTCTTGGCAGAAAGGCTGAAAGAGAACTTGGCTGAAAGACAGAAAGAGAACTTGGCAGTAAGACAGTGTGGGATCGCAACTAGTAGTGGTCGGACTGCAGACCTCGTCGGAGGTGGTGTGTGATCAGAACCAATGCTCTACCCCTGGTGCCGTGGTCGAAATTTTAGATAACAGTGAGCTTATCATGTGGAAAACCGTTCCTTTATGAAAGAAATCAAGTTAGGTTTGATTTTATCGCTCGTCCTTGAATTCAGTGAAGAATTTACTCGACTTTCAGATTGTATTCTTCCCTGACTACGACCGGAAGTGATTAAGTGAACCGCTAAAATTTAGACCACGTAGATTCTGTTAGTAGAATAGTGCTTGGCGTGTGCCACGATGGCAGCATTACGATCTACTTCGGCATCCCTCAGTCCTTTGATTATGGCGATATCCTTCGTGATATTGGCCACTGCCACTTTGACCAGCGCCTCAGAGGCGGGCCTCAACGAAACTGATGAATGGCCTAACTGCACCGAAGGTCTTGTCATCCCATTGTGGCAGCCTCAAATTGGAATAACTATGGGAGACCGAGTGGGAAGAGCCATTGTTTACTTCACGGTAATGTTCTGGATGTTCATTGGTGTATCTATCGCTTCCGATCGTTTCATGGGCTCCATCGAAATGATCACTTCATCCGAGAAAGAAGTCACCATCAAGAAAGGCAACGGCGAAACCCAAGTCATCGTCGTGCAAATCTGGAACGAAACTGTGGCCAACTTGACTCTCATGGCGCTGGGATCATCGGCTCCTGAAATCTTGCTGTCCGTCATTGAAATTTACGCCAAGAATTTCGAAGCTGGCGATCTTGGACCTGGTACGATCGTAGGCTCTGCCGCCTTCAACCTGTTTGTCATCATCTCGATTTGCGTGTACGTGATTCCAGATGGCGAAGCCCGCTACATCAAGCATCTCCGGGTGTTCTTTGTCACTTCTACTTTCTCTATCTTTGCCTACATTTGGCTTTACATTATTCTTGCTGAAATTTCCTACGGTATTGTGGAATTCTGGGAAGCCTTCCTGACTTTCATGATGTTCCCTGCCTTCGTCATTCTGGCGTACATCGCCGACCGTCGTTTGCTGTTCTACAAGTACCTCACCAAGGAGTACCGTATGGGTAAACGTGGCGTAATTATTGAGGTCGAAGGTGAAAGCGTTGAACTGGGCAAGAAGGACGCCGGAGTCACGTATGAGGAAGCCGTCGATGAATCTGTGAAACAATTTGACGAACACAGGAAAGAGTACATGAGTGTCATCCGAGAATTGAGAGCCAAGCACCCTGACATCGGCATGCAACAGCTTGAAGCCATGGCTCGGGAAGAGATCATCAACCGAGGACCAAAATCCCGTGCGTTCTACAGAATTCAAGCCACCAGGAAGCTCACGGGAGGTGGTAACGTGATGAAGAAGCTGAGAGAAGAAGAAGGAACTGAGAAGAAAGATGGCGAGTCTGCAGGTGAGGTCGTCGACAAGGATCTCATCCGAGTGTCCTTCGACCCCGGCCACTACACTGTCATGGAGAACGTAGGAACCTTCGATGTGACCGTTGTGCGCGAAGGAGGAGATCCTAATGTTATGATCCTGGTGGACTACAAGACTGAGGACGGCACTGCCAACGCTGGAAGTGACTACAAGGCGGCTGAAGGAACCATTGTATTCCTACCTGGGGAGACCCAAAAGTCCTTCAAGCTCGAGGTTGTGGACGACGACGTCTTTGAAGAAGACGAGCACTTCTACGTGCGTCTGTCCAACGTCAGGACCGGTTCACTTGATGGCTCAAACGGAACCGCCGGAAAAGGACCGGTTAGGATGGAACTTTCTGCCCCGTACGTCGCTACCATCATGATCCTTGACGATGATCACGGCGGCATCTTCAACGTCGGCGAGAAGGACATCGAGATTGTCGAAACTGTCGGCAATTACGAGCTGAAGATCACGCGCTACTCGGGAGCTCGCGGCCGAGTTTCTGTTCCTTATCACACGGAAGACGGCACCGCCAAGGCTGGCAAGGATTACGAAGCGGTTGAAGGCGAACTTATATTCGAAAACAACGAGACAGAGTGAGTGATTTTTGTGTGAGACACCCATCTTCTTTGTGCGAGTCACTGTTGTCTTTCATAACCCCTGCCAACCTTTTTGTGAGTTACTGTTGTCATTCATGACCCTCGCCAACCTCTTTGTGAGTGACTCTTGTCATTCATGACCCCTGCCAACCTTTTTGTGAGTGATTGTTGTCATTCATGACCTCTGCCCCATTTTTATGAGTCACTGTTTTCATTCATGACCGCTGCCACCTTTTTGTGAGTCACTATTTTCATTCATGACCCCTGCCAACCTTTTTGTGAGTGACTGTTGTCATTCATGACCTCAGCCACTTTTTTGTGGACCACTGTTCTCATTTTTAGTCCCACACTGTTGCCCTTAATTTTGAGGGAAAACAGCTAACTACTTTTCTTGTATAAACTTTTTCCTATTATGACTTTCCAGTCAAAATTTTGCGTGTTGTATTTTTTGTTCTACCTTCCTAATTTTGGAGACAGGCAAATTTTTTAATGCAATATTGTCATTGTCTTTAAATGGCAGGGTTCTTGTTTATTTTTAGTGTACAGAAATCTTTTGCCGGGAGCTTCTATGAAATGTAAAAAATTTACCGAGTGTGTCGAACTGTACCTCCATGCACTCAGAGAAAGAAATTGTTTATTGTGTCAAAATTGTGACTCACTTTATGCACGTATCACTGATACGCCCTTTTGTCGGGTCAAACTGGGTCCGGACTACTTATATAAGTGCAAAAAGTGCGTCGCTTTTTGGATAACCGTTGTAGGAAACACGAAAAGAATATTATTCGGATTATTATTTTGAATATTAAAATAATAAATAAATTTAAATTTTAAATTAATTCAGGGTGAAACAGAGATTTTCTGGAACTTGTTCTAATAGATAATTTCATATATACAGATAGTTTTTCGTGACTATTCACATTTAGACATTAATTAAATTATATAATACAAAAAAAACGATATTTAGAATAAATACATAAAGTTAAAATATAAATATATAAAGTTAAAATATAAATATATAAAGTTAAAATATAAATACATAAAGTTAAAATATAAATCCAAAGTTTTTTAAACTGCAGCGCTTCATTAAGCTGGCAGGTGAAGGCCGTTCACTCAGGGTAATGAGGGACACTTTGTCCAAAAATCGATACAATTTTCGCCCATGTGTGAGTCAAATTGACCCAGTTTGGCCCGGCAAAAGGAGCGTATCAGTGCTACGTCCGCTCTCTCTGTTCATGCTGTGGGTAAGATAGTGTGTCATCATTTGGACACTTTGTCCCATTAATTTATGTTCATTTGGACACTTTGTCCCATTAATTTATGTTCATTTGGACACTTTGTCCCATTAATTTATGTTCATTTGGACACTTTGTCCCATTAATTTATGTTCATTTGGACACTTTGTCCCATTAATTTATGTTCATTTGGACACTTTGTCCCATTAATTTATGTTCATTTGGACACTTTGTCCCATTAATTTATGTTCATTTGGACACTTTGTCCCATTAATTTATGTTCATTTGGACACTTTGTCCCATTAATTTATGTTCATTTGGACACTTTGTCCCATTAATTTATGTTCATTTGGACACTTTGTCCCATTAATTTATGTTCATTTGGACACTTTGTCCCATTAATTTATGTTCNTCATATGGTTCTAATGGACGGGTCATATGGTTCTAATGGACGGGTCATATGGTTCTAATGGACGGGTCATATGGTTCTAATGGACGGGTCATATGGTTCTAATAGACGGGTCATATGGTTCTAATGGACGGGTCATATGGTTCTAATGGACGGGTCATATGGTTCTAATAGACGGGTCATATGGTTCTAATGGTCGGGTCATATGGTTCTAATGGACGGGTAATATGGTTCTAATGGACGGGTCATAGGGTTCTAATGGACGGGTCATATGGTTCTAATGGACGGGTCATATGGTTCTAATACTGACACCCGATACATATGAAGAGAGTGGACGTAGCACTAAAATTCCTTTTTACAGCTCAAAACTAAGTCAAGATGACCCATAAAAATGCAAAAAATGCATCGCTATGTGGATAATTACATTTTCAAATCCTATTATATTTAGTTATTATACATACTCTAATGTATTTGTTATATTAATATGATCTGATATAGTTAATTAATTCCGTTTATTTATTTAGTTTATTATTTCGTATGTAGATTGAAAATAGAAGTGAATAAATGAGGGCGTAGTGAAGAAATTCGGAAAGAAAACGAAGAGGGCAATAGGAATGAAATCTTCTACCATAATATAAATTTAATTTAGAAGTTTAAAAGCTATTAGGATAACATAAAAATTCGCAAATTAATTACAGGAAAAGTTTTGGAAATCCAAATCATTTTTAATTAGTAAAATCAGTGAAACGTCGTAAAGGTAACAGTGAAAATGCCCTAAACAGTGATTTTCCACACTGTTTATGAAATTTGCACTGTTATGTTTTCACTGTTTCCTTTCAAATTTATCTTACGTTTACATTACATTGTTACCTCATTTTTATTACTTTCGAACTGAATTTGGAGCTTGACTCTGAAATGTATTCTTTAGAAACATCGGGTGATTTTTCGTGTCATTTCATTTGCTTTTCAGTAACTAATTAAATTAGGATAGAAGCAATTGAATGACTCTGAATTTAATCTATAAGCATTTATCATGTTAACAAATTTGTTAACCTTGGTAATTATTTAACTTTTTAGCCTTTGATCAAACTGGGACCAAAATTTCGTTCAAACTTGAATATGTACTCAGTTTAATTAACCACTTTTCTTAATAAATTTTCAGGTTTATAGATCTGGCGAACTTTATTACAATTTTAACTTACCTCACACCAATTTCAACTCTATTTTTAAAAATTCATTATAAATAAATATATATTTCTCATATTAGCCTTTACTAATAAAGATTTAGATTTAAGTAATAAAAGTTTATTTAAAATTCATCACTATAAAATATAAATAATTTACATTTACTGATATACGAACTAATATTTAAAAAATCATAATTTAAGACACTACATAACGTTGATATAACAATAAAGCTTTAGAATTCTCATACAATATTATGGATTTTAATTTAAATATCGAGTCAGTTGCTCAGTGTAACTGCAGTGACAGTGTCACCATTGCTCAGTGTAACTACAGTGACAGTGTCACCATTGCTCAGTGTAAATGCAGTGACAGTGTCACCATTGCTCAGTGTAACTGCAGTGACAGCGTCACCATTGCTCAGTGTAACTGCAGTACAGTGTCACCATTGCTCCTGTCTCTTATACACATCTAGATGTGTATAAGAGACAGGTACAGTACTGGACGGTGCAGTACTGGACGGTGCAGTACTGGACGGTACAGTACTGGACGGTACAGTACACCCGACACACGGTCGCCAGGTCCTAACATTGATTATGGAAGAGACGCACGTCACCAACAGACCCGAGGTTTAGTTATATATTAGATGTCCTGGAATCTTTCTAATTATTAAATAAAGTGATCCTCGCTATGGGCTGATATAGAGTTAACATGCTATATTTGTTAATTATCTGTTAACAAATAATATGCTATTATTTGTTAAAAGTACTATTATTGCTAATGTTATTATTTGTTAATTTGCATATTCGTTAAAGTGGGGGTTGTTGGGGCGTGTATCCAGGATACTTATCGCGTCGGGATATATAGGGGCTGTTAGCGCGTATCCAGGATACTTATCGTGTCGGGATATATAGGGGCTATTGGGGCGCGTATCCAGGATACTTATCGTGTCGGGATATATAGGAGTGGCTGAACCTGAAAATTTATTCATATTCATGCTTTAACTTATATGCCAATTTATTAAACGATCATGAATAACTTGCGAGTTCAACGTGCAGTTTGCACGCTCTGAGAGAACTGAATGGATTAATGTCTGAACAACGATGCCCTTTTTGCACCGGCGTAGGTCATACTATTTCAATTTGGCCTAACAAATGAGCGTTCAGTGCTACCTATGAATGAGCTGTGGGAAAAAGTGTAGTTTATGCAAAATGTAATCAATTCCGATGAAAAATACATTTCCCGTATTGCCCTCACAAATTAAATTGCAAATATTGCCCACATAAATTATATTGCCCATAGTGCTCACTTAATATCTATATTGTCAATATCGCCTATTTTGCTGAAATTGCCCTTATTGCCCATAATGCCCATAATGCCCATAATGCAATATTATTATTTGTAATGATAACAAAATCGGGAGCGCTGAGGGCAGAGGACGAAGCAGAGGGAAGCCTTCCAAGCGCCGCTCTGGAGAACACCGTGATAAAGAGGGAGGGAAAGATGGTAAAGAGGGGAGGGAAAGAGGTGAAAGAGGATAAAGAGGAGAGGGAAAAAGGGTAAAGAGGGAAGGGAAAGAAGGTAAAGAGGGAAGGGAAAGAGGGTAAAGAGGGGAGGGAAAGAGGGTAAAGAGGGGAGGGAAAGAGGGTAAAGAGGAGAGGGAAAGAGGGTAAAGAGGGGAGGGAAAGAGGGTAAAGAGGAGAGGGAAAGAGTGTAAAGAGGAGAGGGAAAGAGGGTAAAGAGGAGAGGAAAAGAGGGTAAAGAGGAGAGGGAAAGAGGGTAAAGATCGAGAGAAATAGGGTAAAGACTGGAGGGAAATAGGTAAAGAGGGGAAGGGAAAGAGGGTAAAGAAGAGAGGGAAAGAGGTAGAAAGGAGAAGGAAAGAGGGAAGAAAAAGAGGTCGAAGAGGGGAGAGAAAGAGAGTTAAGAGAGTGAGGACAGAGGATAAAGAGAGGAGGGAAAGATTGTAAAGAGGAGAGGGTGAAAAAAGGAGGGAAATAGGCAAAGGCAAGAGGTGAGGGAAATGGAGGGGGAATGTGAGGGTCAAAGGGAAGAAAGATTATAAGACAATCTGTGGGAGGAACAAGAAGAAAGAAAGGATAATTTTAGTTGGAACGCAAAATGAAAATACTCGTTTTTGATAATGAAGAAAAATAGAATCGAGAAGATGA